TTTTTTTTTTTTTTTTTGGTGGAACTGGGGATCGAACTCAGGCCCTTGCACTTGCCAGGCAAGCACTTACTCTATTGAGCCATCTCCCTGGCTCCTTAAAGTAATTTTCTCTTGCAAATGAAAAAAAAAAAAAAAAAAAAAGCAAGTTTATTAAAATCTAATTTTCTCTGAGTCTCATACCTGTTGTTCATCCTCCATGACGTTACTAGCAAATTCAAATACTAGGTCGTTCTGTTGGACAACAGCAGCCATAATAAAGCATTCCCCTTAGATCCACATGAGAAAAAATTCCAAACAGGTTCCAGTATTAGGCAGTAGGGTCCATTAACAAATTTAGGTAAAACCTCTCAGCCAAGTCCGTGAAATCACTGTGTACCCAAGGTGCTCTTTAAAACAAATGCTTCAAATTATCTTGGTTCACTAGTACTCTAAACAAACAGGCAATTTTTCTAAACTTTTTCTTCTCTTAAGCTTCTTGACCTGAAAGACAAAACATTAAATTCATTGTTAAAAACAACCATCCATTTAACTATAACTGATATATTGCACAGCATTTCAAATGATTTTATGGTGAAATTTTTAAATAAAATTAACATGACTAATGAACAGTCATCTTTTAGAGACATTTTTTAGATATATAGCTTCCTTGAAGACTTCATTATTAAGAGCACGCCTTCTACTGAAAACAAAGACTTTCCTCAGTTAAGCTTTAAAATACTATCAAAAAACAAAAACAAAACAATAATGAGGTTTGCAACTGCAATAATGGACACATAAACAATTTTCTGCTTCTTATTAATCCCGTAAACCACCTAAGAGTTTCGAACATATGAAATTACTTATAGACTAGTAATTCTTATATACTGCCTTTAGTAGAACCATTCAGATAGCATGCTTGTTAGGCCTAATAAATGTAAGAATTTAAAACCTAATGAATTTAAACTTTCGTACATACTATTGTAAGGGCTTTTAAAACTAAGCTGAAATTAAGGCCTACTTTTTCTGTTCATTAAAGGTTTCTGGTAAGTAGAATGCTTTAAGAGTTACCATGTTTAAGCCTGTCTTCAGTGACTTCTTTTTTAATGCACTGAAATGTACCCTTATCTCTGGAACAGGCTTGTAAACCAACAGGAAGGAAACATATTTGACCACGTCATGGCAAATTAGAACATGCAAAGAACTGCACTTTACAATAGTAGAAAAACAGAAGTGCAACTTAAGAGCAAAAACAATTTCACAGCAGAAGAAATGCTTTAAAAATGTGTGCCAAAGATAGTTCTATATTCAAAAAATTAAAAAATTACTACTACTAACAAGAGTGACTATAAAAAATAATATAGGAATGGGGCAAAACCACTTGTTGGAACTGAGTTTACTGAGAAAAAACTAAATTAGTGATCAAATATTGTATGAAATGGTAATAAACAAATATGACATAAAAGACAATAATATAAAAACATTAAATAACTGATTCTTTGAAATAGCATTTATACTTTTAGCATAAAAATTTTAAAAAGAAAGCTGATTTCAAGCAAAGGATAGGAACTAATTTCCTAAAAATGTTAACAGGATAAGTTTGGGCATAAAGCTGACATGAAAACTGATTTTCCTAAAAACTTTTTTTTTTTTTTTTTTTTTTCAGAACCAGGGATTGAACTCAGGCCCTTGCACTTGCCAGGCAAGCACTTATTCTACTGAGCTATCTCCCCAGCCCAAAAACCTTAAATTTAACCAAGTGTATTCTCTGCCCCTTATAACTATATTAACAGAATTTCATCATATTTTTCTACAGAAGAGTATCTGGAAAATTAAGAAATTCCTTACATAATAAAAAAATAGAGCTAGAGATATAACAATAGAATCCCTGCCTTGCATGCATAATGCCCTGGAAATTTTACTAACTGAAAGCAAAACAGAGGTTTCCTACCTGTATATCTATAACACAAGTACCTTACCATCCTCCAAATACTTTTATATAATATTTTATGCAACTGCTTGATACTTACATCATTTTCTTCTTTCCTTCCATGGTTTTCTATTGCCCTTTGATCTGAACAAGTAGACACTCACAGAAGAATATTCTGTGTTTACTACACTACAAGCATCTAGGATTTTTTTGTTTCCTCCCTGGTATGCTAATGATATAAAACTGTTGAGACATTTGAAGGAGAGTTGTAATCTCGATGAGTTGGAATAAATCAATTTCAATCATATTTTTATCTGGAACAACTGAAGGAGAGGAATTTATAGATTTCTCTATTATTATTATTATTATTAGTCTTTTGAGGCAATCCTTTACTAAGTAGTTCAGACTGGCCTTCAACTCAACTTTGTAGCCCCAATGGCTTACAAACTTGCAGCAAACCTCTTGCCTCAGTCTCACAAGTGCTGGGATTACAAGTGTGTATAGTCATGCCCAGCCTTCCCCTATTTCTTTTTTTCTTAATTCATTTGGTAAATGGCACAGGGTCTCACTATGCAGCTCGGACTTGTAGTGATCCTCCTGTTTTAAGCCTCCCCAGGGCTGGGATTAAAGCTTGAGCCACCACGCCCAATCTCAGTGGGTGGCTCAGTGCACCCATGGGTAGGGCTATGCCAGGGATCCAACCCCAGTCCCTATGCTTACCTAAGCAGAAGCATAGTCTGTTGAGCTATCTCACTGACCCTTCCACTATTTCTTCAAATCTTAATTTTAATATTGTTCATTTCCAGTTTTACCATAGCATATCACTCACTTTATACATTCTCTCAGCTCAAAAAGTGAAAAAGACATACATATAAGCATTTTCTTAACACTACCAATAACTCATTAAAATACTTCAAAATATTTATACTGACATTTTTCTTTCCAGCTCTTTAAACGTAGTATAATTTACATCAAAAATATGAATATGGAGAAAACAAATATGAAACACACCACATCGTAGCTAATCAAGTAATTAGATTTAAACTTCCCCAAACAAGGACAGTAATAGTCCCTCATCTGCCAGGTGTGGTGATGCACACCTGTAATCCCTGTAGTCCTAGCACTTGGAAGGCAGGGGCAACAGGATCACTGTGAGTCTGTGAGTTCAAGGTCAGCTTGTACTACATAAGTGAAACTTGTTCTTAAAAAAAACAAAAACAAAAAAAAAAACTCCTCATCCTGCGAATAACAGCAGTGAAAAGAATAGTAATTTTAAAATAAATATTATAAAGTTCTTTCTATAGCATTATACATAAAATGAGGGGAAGTTAACATTACAATATGACCAAGTCAATACTTATTGTATTCAATATTCTCATAATTCAAAAAGAAAATTCTAAAAATAAAAAATTCTATACCCTAGCTTTTTTTTTCTTTCAAATATTCAAGGAATTGAAAAAAAGTTTATTTCTTTCTCTCTTTTTTTTTTTTTTTTTTTTTGCAGGACTGGGAATTGAACTCAGGCCCTTGCGCTTGCTATGGAAGCACTTATTCTACTGAGCCATCTCCCTAGTCCCTGAAAAAAAAGTTTAGAAGAAGTTTTAAAATATGTCTCTAGGGACTGGGGATTAGCTCAGTGATAGAGCACTTGCATACACTGCACTTGCATACACTGCAAATCCCTCTAGATTTGATCCCTAGCAGCACTTTAAAATTAAGTTCCATCTATACATTTACTTTTGTGTTTTGGGGGAGAAAACAGAACCTGGTGGCAGGCAAGCACTCTATCACTGAGCCATATATCCAGCTTTTCAATTATCTTTCAAGTAACAAACTAGCATAACTACCTAAACTTACGTGGGTTGTTTTGTTTTGTTGAGACAGAATCTCAGGTTCAGGTTGGCTTTGCACTCACTATGTAGCACAGGCTAGCCTCGAACTCATGGATATCCTCCTGCCTCAGCCTTCTGAATGCTGGGATTATAGGCATGTGCCACCATGCCCAACCATTCTCTAACTGGGAGAAAAAAAATAGGCATTCTTTAACAGAAGAATGTGATACAGAGGTGAGTGAGGTATCTATGTCTATTTGGGGTTTTATTTTGTTTTATGTTATGCAGTACTGGGAATTAAATGCAGAGGGCCTTTATCTTATCATACTAGGCAACCTGTGATAACTATATCTAACTTTATTTATTTATTTTTATTTATTTATTTGGTGGAACTGGGGATTGAACTCAGGCCCTTGGCAAGCATTTATTCTACTGAGCCATTTCCCCAGCCCCTATATCTAACTTTATTAAGAGCATAATTTACCTTCATGTAAATGAAGCACAATTGATGAGTTTTTAGTTCTTTGTTTACAAAGTCTCAGACTTTTAAGACAGATCTTCACAATCTTGATCAAGCTCACCTTAGTGCCAAGCCTGTCAGAGAGATACCAAAAAAGAAAGAGGGAGAAGGAAAGAGAGAACATGAATCTGGCTGAATGCTCCATGCCAAACAGGCTGAGTACTCCATGCTTTTGCCTTTTTGCTGACACCCAGGACTTCAGGCAGGCCACAATTAACTCCCAGACCTGAAATTCCAGTTCTTTCACATAGTTCTTCAACTTTCCATCGTTGGCCTTTTGGGTCTACCTGGTGTCAGATTACACTTGGGCAGCATTTGTAACAACTTACAAAACAGGCAAACAGATCACATACCTAGACCTGTACATACCTGTGTTCTCAAGATTAATCCCTTTTCTGTATAGTTTCAAAAACAAAAGGAATTTGAAACTAAATAGGAAATATCCAAGAGTAACCTGACTTAGTTTCCAACTTTGTTTATAAAAATGTTTACCTTTTTTGTTTCTAAAAGGCTGAAAGTTTTTAATCAAATAACATGAACTGATGTTTTTCATAGCCAAATTAACTTAAGGAAATTTCTTCCATACTGTACCTAAATCTGAACTCTGATGGAAAAAAAATATATAAACATGTTAAAATGTCCTTAACAGCAAAACCTGTTTGGGCAGTTAAAAACTTCTCTCCGACAAGCAAGAATTACCTTGCAAGGAAGTTGTTTCATTTCTGTGGCTGTTTACTCTGCCTAGTTAATATTTTCATGTTAAAAAAAGAGGTCTCTAGGGCAATGGTTTCCCCATCTGCAATAATAGCAGATTGCCATCATTAATAGTGGAAAAGGCTAGAGATACGTGCTTCAAAGGATCTCCACGATAGCTTACTAAATGCCTCCCCTTTCTCCATTCCCCACATTGTCCAAGTTTTCTGGTAGAAACTATTCTCCTTTAAAATCCACTCTTACAAAATGACATGCCATCAGCTGAAAGCAAACTTTATAAGTCATATAAATCACTCAATGGCCATGGATTGCACTGTTAAATGATAGCTCCTTCACATACCAATTTAATTGACCTTTACTAATACTGTTCTAGCTTCTGTGGAATGGTTCTTTGAATAGGAGACTATCACCAAAAATGAAAATACAATTTGTTTCTCCACCAATGGCTTTCACTACTTATAGGAAAACATCAAGTCAATAAGCAAGTTAAATGGCCATTCATGATGTGGCAAAATTACGAGGAAACTAGTCAGTCAGACTTGTAAACCACAATATCTGAATACACTGAGTATATAGGTCAACAGTCAATGGACTGAGCTTAAATATATATCTCTACACTATAGTAAACTAGTCAGAGACAAATAGTTCTATGGAATAAAATAAAAGCTCAGGCTGACCAAATAGTTTATCGGATTAAAGTGCCTGCAAGCAGGTGCAGGAGCCAGGGGTTCAATCTTCGCCCCCAGGGTGTGCTGAGATAGCAATTGAGACTGGACGTGGTGGCACGCGCCTGTAATCCCAGCTCTTGGGAGGCTATAAACAGGATGATCACTATGAGTCCAATCTAGTAGTGAGCCCCTGAACACCCTGTAGTTCCCTAAAATACAAAAAAATAAAGGTTCATAAATAGATTCACTTAAATATAGTCAACTGACCTCTAACAAAAGAACAAAGGAAATATAATGAAAAGATAGTCCTTTCAACAAATAGCTAGAACAACTGGACATCTGCATGTAAAAACTGAATTTAGACAATTAAAAGCACTTTCCAAACATTACTTCCAATTGGATCACAGATCTGATTATAAAATTTTAAACTATAGAATTTCTAGGGGCTGGTGAGATGGCTCAGTGGTCTAAAGCACCTACTTAGAACAAATTTAGCAAAGCACAGGGACCGCAGTTCAATCCCCCAGCACCACATGCCAGCCAGCCACGCCCCCTGGTAGGCTGAGCTGGCCACACACACACACACACACACACAAATAAATAAAAAATTTAAAAAAAAAAGAATTTCTAGAGAAAAATCTAGATAACCATGACTTGACAGTGAAAAACATGACCCCAGGACAGAATCCATGAAAGAAAGAATTGAGAAAATATTTGCAAAGAACACATCTACTAAAAGACAAAAATATATAAAGCCCTCTTAAAACAATTTTTTTTAAAAAATCTCAGAAGGAAACTCATAAACCCAATAACCCAATTTAAAAATGATCCAAGGGACCTTTTTTTTTTTTGCAGAACCAGGAATTGAACTCAGGCAGACCCTTGCGCTTGCCAGTGAAGTGCTTATTCTACTGAGCCATCTCCCCAGCCCTGATCCAAGAGACCTTAAAAGACATTTCACCAGACAAATACATATAAACATATAAAAGATATGCAACAATCAGGCCTGGTAACACACACTTATACTCCTAGCTACTCAGAAGGCTGAGGGAGGAAAATCACTACCTAGAGGCCAGCCTGGGAAATGTCACAAGAACTGGGCTCAAAATTTAGTTCAGGACTGGCCAAATAGCTCAGCAGATTAAAGTGCTTGCAAGCAGGTGCAGGGGCCCAGGGGTCGAGCGGCCCAGGACTTGATCTCGGGCCTGCCATGCTGGCCCCACACCAGGGCACACAAGAGGGTGATTGAGAATGGGCATAGTGGTGCCAGCCTGTAATCCCAGCACTTGGGAGGCTGTAAACAGGAGAATCACCATGGGTCACTATGGCTAGTAATGAGACCCTTGAACACCTGTAGACCCTTCCCTAAAACACAGGGGAAAAAAAAATTAATTCAGTTTTTTTGTTTTGTTTTGTTTTGTTTTGTTTTTTTAAGTACCAGGGATCAAACTTTGGACCTTATACTTACCAGGCAGGAACTTATGACATTGTCTGTCTCAAAATAAAAAAAAAAAAAAAAAAAAACGGTGTTCTAATTGGCAG